CGAAGGCAGAGACTCAACCCACTGAGCCACCCAGGCGCCCTCTCATGTATATTTTAAAGTATATTTTAAATTTATTTGTCAGGGGCGCCTGGGTGACTCAGTGGGTTAAAGCCTCTGCCTTTGGCTCAGGTCATGATCCCAGGGTCCTGGGATGGAGCCCCGCATCGGGCTCTCTGCTCAGCAGGGAGCCTGCTTCCCCCACTCCCCTGCCTGCCCCTCTGTCTACTTGTGATCTCTGTCTGTCAAATAAATAAATAAAATCTTTTTTTTTTTAAAGGTATACTTAGGTTGATCTTTTTAAAAAAATGTATTTGTCACTTATACTTCAGTGAAGCTGAAGGAGAAAGAAAGAATGCCGAAACAGAAGTGGGTTTGGGTCGACTGAAAAAAAGGAGGGGGGGAAAAACCCCAACAATCAGATGAATGACCTTCACAAACATAAAACCTCTGAACAAAATATTGGCAAATGAAACATGGCAAGACATATAAAGGTTTACACACTATGACAAAGTGGAGTTTGTCCAAGAAGGTAAGAGTGGACTTAATTCTTGTCAAATGCTATTTAGAAGGAAACTTCAATCTGATGAAACATGAAAAGCCTACAGCTAACACTCTACCCGTGTAGAGGTGTAGGCTGAATGCATTTCCCCTCACAACGGAGACAAAACAAGTGTCCTCTTCCACAACTTCCATTCAAAACTGTCCCGAAACCCCTAGCTGATGCAAGGCAAGGAAGAACACTTACAGGAACAAAGATAAGAAAGAAAGAAGCGAAACTCTTATTTGCAGATGACACAATCTTGTTTGTAAAAGTGACCATTGACTCTAAGGGGAAAAGACTTAAAATAGCAAGGTCAAGGGATCGAAGATCTAAGAACCCACTTTGTTCTAAACTAGTAATGAAAAATCCCAAACTGACATTAAGAAAATCCCATTCCCAACAGCACCAAAGGGAAAGACACTATTCTGGAATGGCAGCATGAGGAGCCAACTCTGTGGACCTTTTCCCCAATGAAACAAATATAAAGAGTCACTTTAAAAATGCAATTATTGGGGCACCTGGGTAGCTCAGTGGGTTGAACCTCTGCCTTCGGCTCAGGTCATGAGCTCAGGGTCCTGGGATCGAGCCCCACATCGGGCTCTTTGCTCATCAGAGAGCCTGCTTCCCCCCTCCCCCGCCTCTCTGCCTACTTGTGATCTCTGTCAAATAAATAAATAAATACAATCTTTAAAAAAATCCAATTATTGCATGCCTCTGGAAAGTGTCATAATGGGATATAACAAACAAACATGTATTCAGTAAAACCTAATTAAGAGTAAGGGGAGTGAGAGTCTGTGGCATTGAAACCACACCTTGCTTTCTGCCCCTCTCTTGTCAGTGATGCAAACCCCACCCCAGGCAGGGGCAGCCAAGAACACAAGGCTTCCCCAAACCCTGCTCTTAGTCCAGGGATCTATCTTCCCGGGAGGGGCAGGCACCAGCCTCTGTCATTCCCTCCCAGCTACAGACTGCAGGGGGCCATTTCCATCTGGCTGCCACTGATAGGCGTGGAGACCCCACTTCAGATATGGCATGTTAAGAACATTGGAGGCCCAACTGCCCTTTTCCTAGCTCATTTATAGGGCAGAAATCCTATGCCGAAAGGCAGGTCAAGAAGAGGCTGCCACCCACACCTAGCGTCTTTCCCCTAGAAGGGGGTTATTCAGGGGCTCAGTCTGACTTTGGCTCAGGTCATGATTGAGCCCTGTGTGGGGCTCCTGAACTCAGTGTGGAGTCTGCTTATCCTTCTGACCCTCCCGCTGCTCTATTAAAATCTTTCCAAAAAAGTGGGTGGAGGGTTATTCCAAGAAATGCAGGCGAATGACCCCACCCATTATTCCAGAGCTGTGGTGCAAGGATTTTGTTCACAAGCCGAGGCAGTTCCTAAGAGCAGACAGCTCTGAAGCTCTCTCTAGAAGGGTGAACTTTATTTGAAACAAATGGTGGAAGTTCAAGACGAAGGGTGCTCTTAAAGACAAGGGAGGTTTTGACAGCAAGCCAAGAGGAGGAGGCTAGTAGCTTCATGAGATCAATATATGAAACAAGCAGGCCAGCCAGTTTACCAGAGAACCAGGGAAAGAGACAAGGAAAGCCTTCTTGGGATTAGAAGTCTCAAACACTGGCCTCAAAAACTGCTTCCACAAAGGGGCAGGAATGAAACGGGGGTAATTTGCGTCCCAGGGTACCATTAAAAATAATGAAGCAGTCTGCCGCGACAGTGTGATCAGGGAAAGGCAATGAGCGTCCTGTCAAAACCGGTCATCCCACTGTGACTGTGAGCAAGCCCGAGGCTGGGTCCCTTGGGGATCAACATCAGATGCTCACATGTGGAAAAAAACCAATGTCACCAAAATGTTAGCTAGCTAATCTCAAAGCAAATAAAACAGACAAGCAGCCCTGGGAAGTATAGGATCTATGTCAAATTTTTGATTGAAAATGTATAATACTTGCAAAAAAATGGAAAGGACTGACCTACAAACAGAAAAAAGGCAGACAAGTGCCTGCAAGATGGTCTAGATGACAGATTTAACAAGGACTTCAGGCAGCTATTATCAATCTGCTCAAAGAACTAAGGGAAACCACAGTTGAAGTAAAAGAGGGTATGATGATGTCACATTAAAGACTATCAACGAGGAGTTACAGATGGAGAGAGATTATGCAATCTAAAGAACAGGTTAGAATGAAGAAAAATGAAGAGTCCTTGGAAAACATGGAATACTAAGTACAAAAACATATGCATAATGGAAGTATCACACCAAGAAGAATCAATTCCCTGCCCCTTCCTCTCCCTTTGCTCCTTCTGGGACTCCCATAATGTGAATATTGGTTGGTTTAATGGTATCCCAGACATTCCCTGGCCTTTCCTTTACTCTTTCTCTGCTCCTCAGACTTTCCATTTCAAATGACCAGTTTTCAAGTTCACAGATTGTTTCTTCTGCATGTACAAATCTGCTTTTGATCCCTTTAGTGACTTTTTTCCAATTCAGTTTAAAAATAATTCTGTGTTCTCAATTTCTTCTTTTTCTCTTAAGCCCTTTAAGAGTTATATACATATATATGTATTTATATATAAATAATATATATATGCAAATATATATAACACATTTATTTAGAGTATGCATACACTCAAGGTGGGGGAGGTACAGAGGAAGGGAATCTTAAGCAGGCTCCATGCTGGGCACGGATGTGGGGCTTGATCTCACAACCCTGAGATCATGACCTGAGCCCAAGTCAAGAGTTGGACGTTTAAGCAGCTGAGCCACCCAGGTGCCCCAGAGTTATTAAATTCTTTGTCTCCTAACTCTGAAGCCTCTGTTTCATTATTAGGGTTGGCTTCTGGGGATTTATGATTTAATTTGTTCAAGTGGGCCATGTTTTCAAGTATCTTTGTGAGCCTTGTGCTCTTCTGTTGAAACTTGGGCATTTGAACCCTGCAGGCTGGCTCCATGCACAGAAAGACCTTCACTGCCAGTCCAGCATGAAGACTTAAGGCATTCTAAGGCCTTTTCTGGGCATGGGTCTTACCTCAGTCTGTGGGTGTGATTTCTACCCCAATTCCCCCATATATATGTCTGCTTTTATTTTTTACTTAAAATTTTTTTTTATTTTTACATGTCTGCTTTTATTTATTTTTTTTTAATTTTTTTTTTAAAGATTTTATTTATTTATTTGACAGAGATCACAAGTAGATGGAGAGGCAGGCAGAGAGAGAGAGAGAGAGGGAAGCAGGCTCCCTGCCGAGCAGAGAGCCCGATGCGGGACTCGATCCCAGGACCCCGAGATCATGACCTGAGCCGAAGGCAGCGGCTTAACCCACTGAGCCACCCAGGCGCCCCTACATGTCTGCTTTTAAATGTATTAATCTCTGTAGGAGTCTCACAAGTCCAAATCCTAGACCTTTTGAGAAACTTCACACTGATACAATCCATTTTTTAAGAAATTTTCCTTATTTTGGGGGCACCTGGGTGACTCAGTTGGTTAAGTGTCTTGGTTTTCACTGGTTAACTGACTTGGTTTTGGCTCAGGTCATGATCTTATGGGTCATGGGCTCGAATCCTGGTTCAGCTGGAAGTCTGCTTGAAGATTCTTTCCCTCTGCCCATCCTGTCCCCCAACTCATATGCTCTCTAAAATAAAATAAATCTTTAAAAAAAGGGTTTACTTGTATTTTTAAAAGATTTTATTTATTTTACAGAGAGAGACACAGCAAGAGAGGAAACGCAAGCAGGGAGAGTGGGAGAGGGAGAAGCAGGCTCCCCGCTGAGCAGGGAGCCCGATGCGGGACTGGATCCCAGGACCCTGGGATCATGACCTGAGCCAATGGCAGATGCTCAATAACTGAGCCACCCAGGTGCCCCCAAAAAGGTTTTACTTATTTTTTAAAAGTAGTCTGTACAACCCAATGTGGGGCTCAAGCTCACAGCCCTGAGATAAAGAATCACACAGTCCATGAACTGAACCAGCCAGGTGCCCAATATCCATTGTTCTTTATGGTTTGTGGTCATCTTTAATTTAAACTACAATTCATTCCCCCCCCCTTTTTGACTACAGATGTCATTCTGGTAGTGTCTGGCAAGAAGGCACTGACAAAACCATGATGTAAGTTTTTGGAATTAAGGACGATGACGAATTTGTTTAACTGCAAAAATTATTACTACAGAATAAAAAAAATTGAGGAAAAAATAGTTTAACTTGTATGCACATGATGATATTGGCCCAGAATGTATCATGAGGACAAAATTACAAGTTAATTTGAAAATCCATAATTGCAATGGCATGTTTTAATATAACCTATCAGGAAATGGAGAAAATAATATGTATACAGCAGTTAATAAGACACTTTAAAGGAACATGTACAGAAATGTTGGTCTGATAAAAGAAATGTAAATCACATACAAACATAACTGAAAATGTACTGAAGAATTAGGTTCAGTTGTGAGTAATGAGAAAAACCCACAGTCTGCCTGTAAGAGGAAGGTGTTTATTCTCACAAGAAAGGACTGGGTCACAGAAGTCACTGTACAATGCAGTAGAGAAACAAACTACCACAGGGCTCCTTTTGACTGCATCACTGTAGCTGTGCTGGTGGAATGAGGAACCCAGGACAAGATGCTCACTACATGTATTAGACCTTATACAAATACAATCCAGAGAAGAAAGATGTCAGCGCTTTAAAGGACATTCTCAACCATGATAGTCTACATGTATTGCCTGGTGGACACAGGATGGCTTGCAGGAAAATCCAAATGGCATCGATCTTTGCTGTGGAACTTGTGGACACATCTGTGGAAACCTATGCTCTGAGAAAATGGAAGTCAAGTAGTTGGTGGTGATACTGAAGATACTCTTGACTGGCAGGGCAAAGAATGGCCTGGAAGGTGTGTGGAAAACGCCTCTGGTCTCTATCACTGCCTGTACTGTAACTCCAAAAATGAAGGCCTTCTTCCCTTCTGCCTTCCAAATCTCATGCAAGTGAGGCTATTAGTGAATTCTAATAGGAAACTATAAAGAGAACAGATTCTAGAAAATTAGGTCAAAACATTACCCATGTTGACCTGGCACATTCCAGGAGAGCCATCTCCAATTCTACATTGTTTTTTTTTGTTTGTTTGTTTGATCACAGGTCTCTTAAAGTGTAATATCCAAACCCACAGGAGAAATGACAAAGAATGAAAGGGAAATAAGTAAACAGCAATTCTAACGAGATAATACTCTATGATAAACTCTGCATACTTACAAACGTATGCCAACTACTTATTAGCCAGGAAAATAAGTCTCTTTTGATGAAAGAAAAAGAAGGAAATCTTTTCTCATATGAAAGGAGGACTATTTATAATGGATAAGGAATATCCAGTACCTGTGACATAAGGTCAATAGGAAAATCTCAACAAATACCAAAATGTCATTATTCCTTGGTCCCTTCACTTACTGAACAATTAAAAAATTTAAAAAAAATTAGCCCTCCTTACATATTAGAAATACGCTTTAACTCACCCATTGATCCAACAGACTTCAAAAGGGAAAGACAAAAATTTTATGACCTGATTCAGTGAAAAACGCTACCTACTAAGCTTACGTATGTACTATTGCTTAAACAGTGGTTACAGAATTGTCTCGACTCAGTGTCCAGCTGAAAAGCAACAACTGGAAGCCACAGTCCGGAGACTGAGTTTCAGAATGAAATTCATTATTTTTAATTTTGAAGCATTTCTTTCATGTAGCAAATTCTCTGGAGTATTATACTTGAATTAATTTATATCAGACTTTCCCCTATTGCTTTCATTTATAGCATTTCTCTCCAGTGGTGTTTTTACATGACCTTGTATTTGTTAAGACTGAAAACTCTCCTGTATTTTTCAGTTATAATTTACCTATCTAGTGTGCATTCTCATCACATGTTTATGTAAGGATGTGGGCCAATTGAAGGCTTTCCCGCAATGTTTACATTCCAGAAGTTTCTCTCCAGTGTGAATTCTTTCATGGCTTCTAAACGAGCTGGGTCGACTGAAGGCTTTCCCACATTCTTTACATTTATAGGGTTTCTCACCAGTGTGCACTCTCATGTGTCCTCGAAAGGTTGTACGATAAATAAAAGCTTTCCCACATTCCTTACATTCATAGGGCTTCTCTCCAGTGTGCGTTCTTTCATGTACTTGAACGTAACTTGAACAACTGAAGGCTTTGCCACATATTTTACATTCGTAGGGTTTCTCTCCTGTGTGAGTTCTTTCGTGTATCCGAAAGGAACTGGGGCAATTGAAGGCTTTCCCACATTCCTTACATTTATAAGGTCCATCTCCAGTATGTGTCATCATGTGTCTTCGAAAACTTGTGAGAGAAACAAATGCTTTCCCACATTCCTCACATTTATAGGGTTTCTCTCCAGTGTGAGTTCTTCCATGTATTTGCAAACCTAGAGGAGAGCTGAAGGTTTTCCCACATTGTTTACATTCATAGGGTTTCTCTGCAGTGTGAGTCCTTTCATGTCTTCGAAAGGAAGTGGGACAACTGAGGGCTTTCCCACACTGCTTACATATATAGGGTTTTTCTCCAGTGTGAGTTCTCACATGCACTTGGAAAGTGGTCAGCCAGTGGAAGGCTTTTCCACATTCTTTACACTGATAGGGTTTCTCTCCAGTGTGAGTCCTTTCATGTGTTCGAAAGGAACTAGAACAACTAAAGGCTCTGCCACATTGTTTACATTCATAGGGTTTTTCTCCAGTGTGAGATCGTTCATGTATTCGATATGAGCTGGGACAGCTGAAGGCTTTCCCACATTCCTTACATTTGTACGGTCCAACTCCGGTATGTGTTATCATGTGTCTTTGAAAGCTTCCAAGAGAAATGAAGGCTTTCCCACATTCCTTACAGTCATAGGGTTTCTCTCCAGTGTGAGTTCTTTCATGTTTTCTAAGGGAACTGGGACAACTAAAGGCTTTACCACACTTTTTACATTCATAGGGTTTCTCCCCCGTGTGAGTTCTTTCGTGACTTCGAAAGGAACTGGGGCAACTGAGGGCTTTCCCACACTGCTTACACTGATAGGGCTTCTCTCCAGTGTGAGTCCTTTCATGTGTCTGAAAGGTTTGATGATATCTGAAGGCTTTTCCACACTGTTTACACTGATAGGGTTTCTCTCCAGTGTGAGTCCTTTCGTGTTTTCGAACAGACTGGCGATATCTAAAGGATTTCCCACACTCCTTACATTTATAAGATTTCTCTACACTGTGATTCCTTTCATGTTTTTGAAAAGGCTGGAGATAACTGAACGCTTTTCCACATTCTTTACATTTATAAGGCTTTTTTCCATATTCCTGATACTTGTATGGTTTTGGTGAAGTGTGAGATCGCTTATGCCTATTAAGGGATGAATGGCGCATAAAGACTTTTCCACATACGCTGCATTCCCATGGTTTTACTTCAGTAGTTTTCTTGTTCAGATTAAGATTTGGAATAGGACTGAAGTTTCCTCCACATTGATTACCTTCTTTACTTTGGCAGAACCTCTCTACCGTTTGACTTCTGTAAAACAAAAACCAAAAACCACCAGAAGTGTATTATTGTGATTTCCCATCTATTAGTAAATACCAGAATTACATTGTTATCATTTACATGTAGGGGAAAGGGCAGGTTTTTCTGTCTTGTCTGAATTGTTTGAAAATGAATATTCTGCAAGAGGGGCTCAACCATAACTATTATATGAAAACAGTGACAGTCACATATGGAGTTTCTGGATAATAATTCCAAATGAACTATTTTTTAAAACACTGAAGATGTGTCACATTTAAGAAAACACTTTTGGTGCAAATTTTCTAGAAGAAAATACATCTGAAACTAGGCTTGCTTTTGCATTTTCATAACATACAAAGATTCCTTTGGATGCTGCTTTCCACCGTGAGTGCTACTCACCTTAGTTTTCTTCCCTGGTTTTTGTACTCATCTTCAGTGTTATGGTCTTTCCATTTTTTCCCTACAATGAAAACCCAGGAAAAAAACAATAAATTATAGAAGAATTATTACAAGTCCATGATGACCAAGTTCTGACCATGCCTGACTTACCGGAGGTATTCCTTTTCCCATTCCAAATCAAAGAATGCTGATGGGCGAGAAACACTTGTCCTCTAAATGACAAGGTGAAAGTAAGGTGTCGTCCTTACCTATTGAGGCCAGGTTCCTCAAGGTTTCCCGCATCACATCTCTGTAGAGCTTCTTCTGTGAAGGATCCAGCAGAGCCCACTCCTCCAGGGTAAAGTTTACAGCCACATCCTCAAAGGCCACTGGGTCCTAAAACATCCCACATAGGTGCAGAGGAGGATGGATGAGACAGCACTAGGAAACTACAGTCAATTCGTAAGAAGCTCACATGATTCTGTAATCTCAAAAAATTCTATGACTTGGTCATCAGAATTCTCACGCTCTGTATGTAATCATTTCTCATACATTTAGGAACATCATGAACACACGGAAATTATTTCTACTTTTTTACTATGTTCAAATCTTATTGCTCTCTGATGGTAGCATCCCAGGCGCATCAGAGAATGCGAGAAATGATATACAAGGAAAGAAACATTTGCATTTTGAGACCACCAATTCCTTGTGAGAAAAAAACTCAGCTCCTCCCTTATTAGCCACCATATCACACAGCACTGCATGAAGTGCAGGGTCACATCCTCAGGAAGTTTTAATGTGTAAAAACACAGTGAAACATGGGGAGCTTTTCCTTCTACGTCCATCGCCAGACATGTAAGGCCAGAGGGCCTGTGGGGATCCACTGTATAACCAGCACCAGCTGGCCATATTGTCCTGAAGCGCTCCAGGCCGTAAGAAGTAGTCGGATGCCACTGGCTGAATGAACACACCTAGCAGAGAGTATTAATTTTACCTTGTCTGTAAGAATTTTTGTCAGAAACGGAGCTACTCCTTTCTATTTGTCCCATTTCATGGGGCGAGGGAGTTACCCAGAAACTATAGCTCAAAAAGAAGGCATCACAACTTAGAACTCTACAAAAATCCCTACATTCATGGGCCTCAGAGCTGCCGCTCACCGACTTTTAGCATTTATATGCACATCTACTGGGATGGCTAAGAGGCTAGAAGAGCTTTTCCAGAACCATTAATGGTGTACTCCGGGCCCTGCTGAGCGTGCGCAATGGGATAAAAGCTGCAATTTGCAAGGAAGTTCGTTTGAAAGCCACAGTGCTTCGGTGGCAAGTGTGCCCACTGCTGTAAAACACACACAGGGCTCAGCGGCGTTTTCCTCCAAGAGAACAGAAGACCTCCCTTCTCCAATTTCAGGAGGCAGTGATTTTCAACCAGCTGCTCTGGAGGCCGCCCTTCCATTTCTCTCACTTCTGTCCCCTCAGGTATGGCACAGGAGTATGACTGCCTCACCTCTGGGCCTGCACAACCTGCAGCTAATTCATTCCCCTAAATGCTGGTGTCTGAAAAAGATGATTAACCCACAGATGTCTATATGGGGATATAGCTCCCACACAGTAATTTGGATGGCAGAGTTCACCCATTTGGTTAAGAAAAGAGAGGGGAAACTCACACTTCTTGGTAGATCCACAAAGTAAAATGAGCTCCCTGGGTGGGCTCTAATGACTTTTTCTATAATGGACCCCTGCACTTGCTCACAGAATGTCCTATGACCCAGTGTGCAGAAGGGAGTGGACACTACTAGCAGGCATGAGATTGCCGATCCTTATGAACACCTGCCCATGGTATCTGTCCTTGGTTGGTGGCTCCCAGCCACCAAGAGGTAGGAGGGAGCCCAGCAACCTGCTGAGAGTGACTCAGTGTGCCATAAACTGTTTATGCAAAGAATATGATACAGCCCAAACTCTAGTGTTTGCTCTGAGAGTCTGAACTTTCATTATGCACAGAAGGGGGTGCCTGAGTGACCCAGGCACTGAGTCTCTAAATAAGCTTCCTGGGGAGATAACATTTACATGTGCTGTTACAACACGTCGTTTGGGGGACTGAACCCTTTCTATGGAGTACAATAGGAGGTAACACATCTCCTTGAAGCTTGCATCTGGTTTCCTCCAGAACAAATTTACTTATATTATAATTTTTATTATTTTATTATTTTTTAAAAGATTTTTTTTATTTATTTGAGAGAGAGACAGTGAGAGCATGAGCGAGGAGAAGGTCAGAGGGAGAAGCAGACTCCCCGTGGAGCTGGGAGCCTGATGCGGGACTCGATCCCGGGACTCCGAGATCATGACCTGAGCCGAAGGCAGTCGTCCAACCAACTGAGCCACCCAGGCATCCCTTATATTATAATTTTTAAAGTTTATTTATTTTTAAGTAATCTCGACACCCAATGTGGGGCTCAGACTGATGACCCGGGATCAAGAGGCGCACGCTCTTCCAACTGAGCCGGCCAGGCACTCCCCCCACTCCCCTGCCAAACCAATTTAATTAAATACTAAACAAAACAAATGGATGCTATTTAATGATCCTAATAGAAAAAGATTAAAATTTTTTTTTAAATATTTTATTTATTTATTTGACAGAGAGAGATCACAAGTAGACACAGAGGCAGGCAGAGAGAGAAAGGGAAGCAGGCTCCCTACTGAGCAGAGAGCCTGATGCGGGACTTGATCCCAGGACCCTGAGATCATGACCTGAGCCGAAGGCAGCGGCTTAACCCACTGAGCCACCCAGGCGCCCAAGATTTAAATTTTTAAAAAGATTTTATTTGACAAAAGAGAGAGAGAATAAGCAGAGGGAGAAGGCGGCTCCCCACTGAGCAGGGAGCCCGATGTGAGTCTCCATCCCAGGACCCTGGGACCATGACCTGAGCCAACGGCAGAGGCTTAACCGACTGAGCCACCCAGGTGCCCAAAAAGATTTACATTTTTATTGAGCATCAAAGAATGAAAAAAAGTGAAAATATGGTACATGTTCTTAGAAACAACTCCATTTCCCAAGATGTTTCCTCTCCCAGAATGTTTTTCTATAAAATCCCATCAATCCCCAAAACAGACTTTTTAGGGGTCAACAAAACCTATTCCTCCAAACCTAGTATGAGGAAAAAAGGTCTTCCAAAGAACAAAGGGGTGGCTTGCCTAATACACATCAACGTTTCTTAAACTATAGCATTCCAGACAGCACAGTATTAGCAGAGAGAAAAACAGACCAAGAGGAAAAGCATCTTCCATGGGCCAGCATTAAATTCTGGAAGCTGGTCAAGGGCAGATCAGGCATTGTGATCTGTACAGTGGCAGACATCAGAAACCCTTTTTATTTTTTTAAAATATTTTATTTATTTATTTGAAAGTGGGGAGGGGGAGAGAGAGAGGGAGAGAGAGAATGAGCAGAGGGAGGAGCAGATGGAGAGGGAAAAGCAGACTCTCCACTGAGCAGGGAGCCCAATGTGGGGCTCGATCCCAGGACCCTGGGATCATGGCCTGAGCTGAATGCAAATGCTTAACTGACTGAGCCACCCAGGAGCTCCCAGAAAGACAAACTGTTATCTACCTGGAAAAATGCATTGTATTCACTTCTATTCCATGGAAAATAGCCAATTCATTATAGATTTAAATGTGAAAGATAAAACTAGGACACTTGAGAAGTCATAGATGAATGCTTCATTGATCCAAAAATAGGGAGAATTTTCTCGTAAGAGGGAAAGAGTAAGACCTGAAACAAGAGACTGAACAATTCATAATCAAACTAAGGAAATTAAAAAACAAGGTAGAAGAAAATATCTGTAATAACGCGCAATACTAAAGAGTTAGGGGCGCCTGGGTGGTTCAGTTGGCTGGGCGTGTGCCTTCAGCTCAGGTCACGATCCCAGAGTCCTGGGATCAAGCCCTGTGTTAGGCTCCTTGTTCAATGGGAGCCTGCTTCTCCCTCTGCCTGCTGCTCCCCGCTGCTCGTGCTCTCTCTCTCTGTCAAATGGTTAAATAAAATCTTAAAAAACTATATTAAAAATAGTTTGCAGAGTAAGACTGAACAGTTTAAAAATAGAAAATAATCAAAACATTTAACAGGAAGATGAAAGACCATATATGAAAAAAAAAGTCCATCTGGGGATGCCTCCATAGTGCAGTTGGCTAAGTATCTGACTCTTGGTTTTGGCTCAGGTCGTGATCTTGGGGTTGTGGGATCAAGCCCCATGTAGGGCTCCATGCTCAGTGCAGAGTCTGCTTGGGATTCTCTTTCTCTTCTCTCTCTCTCTGTCCCTGCCACTTGTGCCATCTTTCTCTAAAAAAAAAAATCTTAAAAAAAGAAAGTCTTTCTGCTAAGTAATAAGGGGAAGAAAAAAAAAAAAAGGCCAAGCACATTACATTTCATACTGATTAGGATAAAAATTAGTCAATTTAATAACGCCAGGTGTGGATGACCAGTCAACAAATACATAAATCATGCACGAATGGAGGAAACCATCAACTGACACGCTCCATTGCCATTTCCTGTCAATCTGAGTTTGATCACGAGCTACAATATTCCTCCAATGTCCAGAGAATTTATTGTGTATTTGCACTTGGGAGTCTGACACAAGAAAGAAAGGAGCTGTATTTTTAACAAGAGTAAAAATGAAATTTGAAAAAGTCGAAATACCAAAAGCAAAGCAATGGGTGAGTAACTTGGATGGCTCGCAGCCATCAAGATACAAGCATTTATGAAACATACCATTGCAAAGAACCAACCAAAACACATTTTGAATGTGATTTCATTAATATCTATTATTTATTTATCTAATTATCTATTATTTTTATTTATTTGACAGAGTGAGAGAGCGCAAGCGGGGGGGGGGGATAGTAGAGGGAGGGAGAAGCGGGCTCCCTGCTGAGCAGGAAGCCTGATGTGGGGCTCGATTGCAGGACCCTGGGACCATGACCCCAGCCCAAAGGAGACACCCAACCATCTGAGCCACCCAGGTGCCCCTATACTCATATATCTAAAGGTAAAACTAAAAGAATACCATTTAGTGGGGAAAAAAAAGATGGCAAAGGTTAGGGAGAATAAAACATCAAGTCAGAGGTCATTCATGGTGCAGGATGGAGAGAAGTCAGGTCAGGAGCCTCAGGAGACAAAACCTGTCCAAGGCCCACTTATAAATAATGATGATCACAAAGATGTTATTATTACTATTATATTGTTATTACTATAAAATCTTCCCATAAAGCATTATACATATCATTTTCTGAATATATCTGATGATAAACATTTAAAGAATTAAGTTTGGAGAAGTATGAAGTTCTTATTTTTTATTCTTGACTCTGTAATATAGAAATCTGAATTCTAGTTCACAGATCTGGGCAGCAAAA